ACACACTTTTAATAATATACTTCACATACTGATTAATATTATATATAAGGCATAAAATCAGCCGAATGTTTAAAAATTCTTATATTAGAAGTCATCAGATTTTATTAATTTTAGGCAAAAAATACACTGTTATTAGAAATAACTCCTTTTGACCGAATATAAGGTCTAAAGTCAACCTGAAGGCTAGGGAAACTTTTGACTAAGTTTTACGCCTTTTTTAAACACTATTATCAGGACAAGATTGTCTCTAAATTTCAATAATCAGTTATGGGCACTGAGGACAACATATACGTTATTTGGGTGCTTGAAAAGATTTGGCCTGATTTCGGTGATTTTAGACTTTTAAATTTTAGATTTCAGACGCTCCAAAGACACTCTTTATATAAAGTTTAATTCCGATATCTTTTTTGATATTTGATTTCTGCACTGTCAAGTGTGAGAATAAGATGAAATTTAAAATTTTTAATTAAGCGAAGTAGGCGTCGTTGTTGTCCGAGTTCATCATTTGTATTGTACTAAGATCGAAATATACTACAATATTTATAGGTTTTCGCTTAATGGAATTTTGTGGGCCTGGCAATAGTTCGATACCCGCCCATCTACAATACCAACCGTCTAATGGTGCCTATAAACATGTGTACCAAGTTTCATAAAGATATCTCAATTTTTACTAAAGATATAGCTTAGATTATTACAGTACATATATGTACATATGTTATATAACTCAATACCTTTTTTTAGGTGTTACAACCAACCGTTAAAAGAACAAAGCTATATTACTGTGTAGCAACAAGTTGCAAAAGTACAAAAATATTCACTTAATTCCCCTACAGATTGAGCGATATCATCGGTTTAAAAATGATGGTGCGATTTTGACAATTTTTTATAGAAAGTTGTTACACCAAAAAACATGATATTTGTTATGATCCATTTCGATTGTTGATACTTAATTTTTCAGCTCAAAACTAAAACAACTTTCTGAATTAATCAAAATTACCAAAAAAATTATAAAATTGTTTCTCTGATATATACTACAAGTATTTTAAAGGTTTCTCGTTTAAGAATTCAAGAGCTTATATTGGAAATATTTTTATACTCTCACAACTTGTTGCTACAGAGTATAATAGTTTTGTTCACCTAACGGTTGTTTCTATCACCTAAAACTAATCGAGATAGATATAGGGTTATACATATATAAATGATCAAGATGAAGGGACGAGTTGAAATCCAGGTGACTGTCTGTCCGTCCGTCTGTGCAAGCGGTAACTTGAGTTTAATGTGCATATCTCCTATACCACTGAAGCTATAATAACAAAATTCACTGGGAACAAATGTTTTAGCCTCTAAACGGTGTGAAATTGGGTGACAATCCCGCCCACTCCTCATATAACGGTACTGTTAAAACTACAAAAGCGCGATAAATCAAGCACTAAACACGCCAGAGACATTAAATTTTATCTCTGGGATGGTATAAGATGATTTTATAGGAACCACGTTCAAAATTAGATAGTGGGCGTGGCACCGCCCAATTTACATTTTACCGAAAATTTCGGTCAACATAGAACAAGGCGGCAAGATTCACAAAGAAATCTGAAACGAGTATACCATTTGACTTCGCAAGAGTATAAATGTTCGGTTACGTCCGAACTTAGCCCTTCCTTGTTTTTTATTTGTATTTTTTGTTTTAAAACAATTTGTTAAGTAAAAGCCTTTGTATACACCTCCTCTGGCCCCACATTCGCAGAATTGTCATAAATACAAACAGTTAACGAAAAAAACAATTCTGGCATACAATAAATTAAAATTTATTAAGTGAATTCCACAATTCACCGCTCGCACGCAACGGAAAAATTCGAATGGTGACCAATAAAACACACAAAGCGATTGAGCAACTTACAACGGTATATGAATTGAATGGTAGTTTATATGTGTGTGTGTTTGTGTTTACATGACTGTGTGTCAGTGTTACAGTGAGCCCCAAGGAGCTGTCACTTCCCCAAACGGACTCATATTCCCACACACCCATGTTAATTTATATTTATGCGTATGTGTGTAGGGTGTAAGGTAGTCCATAGTGCGCGCAAAGCAACTAGGCGTTTAAGCGTGAACATTTCACTTTTCACACGCTTTTTGTTTCCTTTTTTCCTGTGAAAGCTCATAGTAGTTATGGCCAATGGAGCCAGTTGTTATGGCAACGCCACTCCTTGCCCCTATCAAATCAACCATCTGGCTCTTAGCCCACAAGGCAGTTACTTCACCAGTAAGCCGGTGTGGCGATATTGACTGCTGGCAGCGTTTCATTTGTAGGCACAATGTGCGCACTCACTCAATCACAGAGCGGATGTGCGCCACTGATGCGCGCATTTAAATTATTCGAATTATGCGGAAAGCAGTCGCGCGTCAAGCCGTGGCACGGCGGAGCCACCTGCAGTAAGCTCACACATGTACGCATACTCTTGTGCATGTATGCACATGTATGTGTGCAATAGCAGCGTTCTCCTGCTCTCGCAGGAAACACTTCAAACGAACTCGTGCGCCAGCAGTTATGCGTATTTGCTGGCACGAAGTGTGAAGGACTTGCGGTGGCACAAAGCATTTTCGCTTTTATTAAATATTTTCCCTGTTTTGCTCTTCAACGCTTCCACTTTCATATCCCCTCTGCCTCTGTTCTTACTGCTCTCCTCTAGCTTAGCACTGATTGTTCGATGCGCAGCGTAATTTATGGTACATTGGCAATTTGTCAGCAGCGAGATTGATTTTTCCATTTTTTATCATCCTTCCAGTTTTATTTGTTTGGTTTTGTTTAGTGAAATGCTAATGGATAGCTGTAATATATTATAATATTATACTTAAACGAAGTTAGTTCCAGTTGCGGCAGTGATTAGGAAATTCCTTCGACTAATCTGCTTGGGTCTAGATATTTTTATTTGTTTCGCAATTTCTTAAGTACGCTGGTTAGTTAAAAAGTTGAGGAATTCATCTTTGGCATTTACATATAAGACAAACTTAATATTCTGAGGGCTTTCGCTGTTATTATACGTACGTTTTTACGAACTACTAGGTTGATTCCGGCAATTTAGGTCATGAGAATTCCACTTGGGCAGCTGAAACATCGTGAAAAAATACTAGATGTGGATCACTAGATCTTGCGGTATCAGTTTTATTACCCTTCAAAGTAAACCCCGTCTGATAAAACGCCCTTTTGCCAACGATTTTTCGGGTCCTCGGCACAATCGGAATAATATTTTTCCGGTATAGCTTTCAAGACCTTTTTCGTTTCGTTTTTTTATCTCCTCAATCGCATCAAAACGGCCTTTGCGTTTGATAAATAGCCACAAGTCGCATGAAGCCAAATCGGGCAAATGTGGTTGCGGAACGATACGAGTCGAGTTTAACGCAAAAAAGTCGAGAATAAGCAATGCAGTATGACTTAGTACATCATTGTGATGAAGGAACCAAAAGTTGTTTGCCCATAATTCCAACAACTTCGTTTCCAGAATTCCTCCAAGATCCGTAGCAGGTCACTATAGATGAGATGTTTGAGGTTTGACTCAACCATAAGCGTACCGAGAGGTCTAGTAACCATATCCAGTCGCACATTGTTTAAGACCTCGTCGATAAAACAATTGGTACCCACCGCATCTTGTGGTGTTGCCTTCAGCCTTATCACAATAGCGTGTAGACCAGTGTCCACCAAACTTCCTTTGATGAAGGCAAATCGATGCTCTTAGTAACTGGTCCTATGTAATTCTGCTTTAGATTCATATCTCCATGAGCTCCTCTAACCTCTTCTAAAAAACCCAGGAGAAGCCGATAAGCCTAAAATACTTGTAGATTACATAACACCTTTATCGGTCTTCGTGATTTTATACTCTAGGGATATGTGGAACTCAAAAGCAGTTGGTAACTAGAAGACATATATAATGCACTCTGTAACCGCGCAGGTATGATATCATCTGGTTCCGGGGACTTCAAGGGTTTGAACCAGTTTGACGTAGTCTTAAAACAATGTTCGACCAGAAAACCTGTGAAGGTTGCACAGCCTTTCTACTACCCGACGCCCTCTAAGTACCGAATATCGATACAACTTAACACCAGCTAACGCCTCCTTGCCCTAATAATTTCAAAACTATTCTTGACCGGATACAAGTCCGGATCCGTTTCGATTACGTAGACCTGACTATTGTGGGTATGATCTGTTTTGTTCAAACTAAGCTCTTTCTCGAATATTAAGTTAAGAACAATATCTAATATTTAAATCAGTTTACCCACTTCATTTCATTGAGGTTATATGAGATACCTAAGCAAATTTAACTGGATAAATGGAAATTAGATGTTCGGTTATAAGGCACTTTAGACTGCAAGTATACTTAGAAGCTGTTCATTTCAAATCAGTCGTTCGTTAATCTTTGCTTCGCTGCTGGGGAAGTTCCAAATTAAAAGTATTTTTTTTTAATTTAGGCATTAGCAATATGGAGAAGAGTGAGCGATTACTTGCCTTTTCTCAGCCTCAAATCCTCCTAAGCATCGATTGCATAGAAATAATGGCGTTCTAACTGTCATAAGCTCCAGGAAATAGATGTTAATGCACAGCTTTTAGTGTTTCCACTTCATGAGCGCCTACCGTAATGTATTCATATATACCTACTCTAAAAGTACCGCTATAATACCCGATGTACATGTACCACGGTGCACAATACTATTTATATTACCTCCATGTTTTATGTTCATTTGTATTCGATTGGCCTGACTGAGTGAGTGTGAATTTTCCGCTCTACTTAACAGATATTCGTTTACTATTTGCACCGAACGTTAAAATGCATAATTACACACACACACACATACACATCGGTGGGGGCACATACACAGAAAATACATTAACACTTGCCGATCAGCCGCCATCAATCCCCGTTGCCAACGAGGCCGAGAATTCAGCATACAAACCCACAACTTCGCTATTCGCTGCGCTCATTTATATTTTCTATTTGTGTACTTTACAGGCACGCTATACAAAATCGGCGATGTACTGCCACAGGATACCGGAAATTGCCTGCAATGTGTGTGCATAGATGGCTCGACGAGCGATGACACGCCGCGCGTCACCTGCAGTCCGCACAACTGTCCGCCTCTGGTGCTGCCAGATTTGTTCGATGCCACAGGATATTAAATGGCGCTACAACAACACACACGGGCCAACTCACTCTGCGGCCGACATCGTATCCAGAATCATGCACCCGCACACACCTACACCAATAAGGCACCAGCGATTCAACAAAAAAGCGTACAACTAAAGCATCACTCCTGATGGCAACAGTAGTAACAGTAATAATGATGCGTTTCGCTCGCAGTTCATCAACTAGAGCCACCGATGTCGCTGAAAGTTGAAAGGTAAATTACTTATAACATCAGACAACGTGATTTATTGACGTTCTATCCACCCTGTGAAGTAACAAGAGGTGAGCGAGGCAGGTATTAGCTTAAAACAACCAGAGAAACTTTCTGCAACCAGTAGTATAAAATATGTATATGCGCAATTTTGCATTATTCAGCAACAAACGCTTAAAATATTAAATATTAATCACGGAAATTTTTATATATATGTATATAAGCACTGCTGGTTAGAAAATATGCAATCTGAACAAAAATAGTAAATGCAAGAATAGGGGAAGGAAGAATTGAAGAAACCGTTGCATAGCGACAAAGCACTTTGAGCCTGCCACAAATTTTTATAGGTGGCTAATATCAATTCCAGTCAATTCGCCTGTTACGCAGAACGTATGAGTACCGAGATGCTTCAACCTGAGTCTTAAGAAAGCTCGTGAGTAGAAATATGTGATTTGTGATCTATTGTACACTATCCTGTTGAGTTCAGTCTGTTGAGTTAATAGCTGTAATATTTTCTCTCACCGGTTTAATTGCCCAATAGCCTGACTGCGGGGAAATCCAGGAGTATGTGCTCTGGTGTTTCTGCTCTTTTGTGGAAGTAAAAATACTGTCGACGCAATACAGAATATTTAGAATAGTCGACAAATGAACCGGTTTTTTCAAAATGTTTTTCTGTTTTTTTAATTTTAATAACTCTTTCGAAAACCACGGACTTGTAGTTTTACTTTTATTAACAATTACTATTGGAACATTCTTTTCAAATAATTAACCGAGTACAGAAGCTAGAAGTTTGATAATTACTATCCCCGGATTACCTATGATTTCGACAGATATTTCCAAAGCAGGATAATACGAGTCCTCTGGCAGAACAAGAGGATTACTCTAAATAACGGAACACTTTTAAACTTTCGCGTCTGCTTTTAAACTTTAAATATATCGATTTCAATCAAAAATTTAAACAGGACCAACACAATCCTTTACAGTCGGGAATAGAATCTAAGATTCTACCTGTCAGTCTAACACATTTAATATGGGCGATCTGACTCGCCTTTAATGTTACAGTTGTGGCAATTGCCCGACATAATAAACAAACAAGAAAATTAAAAGGAGATCAAATAAAAAAGTAAGTAAAGCAAAATCAAATAGATAGAATAAATAAAAGTTTTAATAAAATATTAATAATAATAAATACAATTAAAAACGAACGCAAAAATAATAACAATTTTTTCTTTAGCAAAGTTCAAAACCAAGACAGTTTTAAAAAACAATATTGCGAGCAGTTTTAGGTGCTGACTCGGCACCAAAATTGGAATATTTAACCTTTAAGATAATGCACAAAACTTAAGAACACTTATATAATACTTAGCTTGCATTTCAAAATCAAATCAATCAAATAAAATGATTAACCTTGAAGATTTTCGTAAAATAAAAACACAAAAATTCTCATCCAAAAAATTACAGCTTTACAGCTTTAAGTGTTGCCACCTATTGATCTGGTCACAGAAGCGACACAAATCCGTGGAGCAATACCCTAATCTATGCAGATGACACCGCAGGCTACAGTTACCTGTATAAATTTCCTCAAGCTGTCTAAATTTGTTCCTGGGAAGGGTGATAAGTTCCTAGAACTGTTTTGTATCGAACTCTTCCAGAAAAAGCCTCGCCTGTTTAAGTTTAGGCACTTGTTGGCATTTGCATGTTCTATAAGCCTTTTCCTCTTTCCGTAGCTGTTTTTGATTTCAACGAACGAGAAGGACAATTCCTTCCCCGCAATAGCTTTTTTCTAGAATAATTTTTGCACATCTGTTAATCAGCTGTTTCCCTGCAGTAATGAGTCAAACTTTTGACGGACCTACTAACACCATGAAAAGTTTAATGTTCGCAAAAGTTGCCCGGGTATCATGCCATCAGAACCCGCGGACTTGGATGGTTTCAGCTAATTTAACATCCAAAGCTCTAGAAAGGTGAAACTCTCAAAAGGGCACTTTTTGAGTGTCAAATCGTGTTCTTAAACTTTTTAAAAGAGAAGAAATGGTCCTTAAAACTCTCTTTTCTGCGATGAAGGGTGCAACTTCCCTACAGCCTAGGGAGAGGTCGAGGAATTTATGCCTGTCCGTAAATTACAATATGTTACAAATAAATATAACTTCGCGACAAATAAAAACCAAAATTCACTTGCCAATAGCACTTATGTCCGAGTTCCTCTAGACAGAGTGCCTCGAGCTCGCATCGAGACGAGACTAACAGAAGTTCCATTCGAGTGTAAAAATAAATGAGCCCCTGTATCAGGTTATTAAAAGCGAATGTATACAACTGTAACCTCTTTTAACATATTCTCCTCGGGCGCCACCTGTCGTAAAAGCTAACTAAGTTTCCATATACTTGATAATACGTATTTCGATTATGAAGTAAGTCAACAAGTCGCCCGTTTATAATAACTTAAATCAATTTTTATATGTTTCAGACGGATAGCGGACTTAAACTTCATACGGACCCTTGGAATTTTTGGAAAGCTTTCCTAAAAATTTCTATAATATCAATTTTGTGCTCTTCATTCAATGCTTTATAAAAAGTGTTACAGTGGTCGGATTTAGTTAAAATATGCGCCGTTTTGTTCGATGATCTGTTTCCATCTAGACGGCAACTTCATAATACCTTCCTCGTAGAAGCCCCCCTCCTTATTTGCGAAGAATTCGGACAGCCACTTTTCACAAGCCTCTTTTGAGTTCAACTTCACACCACCAAGGGCATTCGCCATGGACAGGAACAGGTGGTAATCACTTGGCGCTACGTCCGGGCTATATGGTGGATGCGATAAAACCTCCCATCCGAGCTCCCGTAGCTTCTGACGAGTCATCAACGAAGTGTGTGGTCTGGCGTTGTCCTGGTGGAACACTACACCCTTCCTGTTGGCCAATTCTGGACGCTTCTGGTCGATCGCCTGCTTCAAGCGGTCCAGTTGTTCGCAGTAGATGGTAGAATTAAGCGTCTGGCCATATGGGAGCAGCTCATAGTGGAGCAAAACCTTCCTGGCCGTCAATCCCGGCTTGGTCACTGTTTGGGACGATTCACCGGCCTTCGACCACGACTGTTTTCGCTTGATATTGTCGTATGTGATCCATTTTTCGTCGCCAGTCACCATCCGCTTCAAGAATGGGACGAGTTCGTTCCGTTTCAGCAGCATATCGCAGGCGTTGATTCGGTCCAGAAGGTTTTTTTGCGTCAATTATGCGGCACCCAAACATCAAACTTTTTTTTGTATCCAGCCTTCTGCAGATGGTTCAAAATGGTTTGGTGACTAACTCCCATCTCCTGGGCGATGTCACGAGATGCCATATGCCGGTCTAACTCGATCTATTCCATGATTTAATCGGTATTTGTCGTCACAGGTCTTCCGCCGGCTGGCTTATCCATGGTGTCGTTTTCACCGGCTCTGAATCGTCGAAACCATTCCTCCGCGGTTCGACCATCCCCCAAAACACCATTAATCTCACGGAACGTTTCTCTAGCGGATTTGCCTTTAACGAAGGCAAACTTTAAAATAGCGCGAATTTCGGCGTTAGTGAACTCCATGTTTACACGTCTATAACTGTTGAACGCAATATCAGGTTATGTCAAGACCTTTCAAATTATGTATAGTGTTGCCAGATACGAGCTCTGTAGCGCTTTGTACATAGCCGCGAAATTCAAAAGACAAAAAAGCGGAAGGGAGATATTTGACAACCTTATATAAAATCTAGTCACTTTAATCATCATTATGAATAACAAATCTACTGCTACATATAGAACTAATTTTCATCGAATACACAATCATTTTTGGAATGAAGCGAGCATGCCATTATATTCCACATCACTGTAAGCGACTGGCATAGTTGACGCTTGGGATGCGTATCCGTTATGCAACTGCATCTATACAACTGGAGAGCGGAGCTTCACTGCACACTGCTAATTCCTTTCTATATGCAGCAGCGTACATTTATATGCGATATTTATTTATAACGGCTCTCCTACTTTCTGTTTTTATTTTCTTTTTCCGCTTTCTAGTTGCATTCGGTGGTACGTTGTGTGATTTTATGCTTTCACGCTTTGTTGATTTCGAAAATTACCGACTCGACGCTAACTAACTGCACTGTGACTGCCGCCAATCGCACAACTAACGTATGTGTGGATGTGTGCCGTAGCTCGTGTGTAGGAGTATGTGCGTTTAATAATCTTATGTGATTTCATATTGCATTTGATAACCATAAATTGTGTGCACGGCATAATTAAGGCCAGATGTGAGGCCACAAAATAGATGAGTTTGTAAATCACTGCGCTCTCGGCAGCAAACAGTTGAATAATTTAGCAAAAATATATTGCGCAGTACGAATAAAAATAATCGAAAAGGGGGGAAAAGTTATTAATGATGGCGAAACATAGTTTGAGCTTTAAACCGTCCACAAATGCTCGAAATACATATTTATATGGAAAATTAAGGTGACTGCTCATGCTCATCTACTTAGCGGTTCTACGCATCACAAAGGACCGACGATCTTAGCTGTACGTGGGATCTTTCGTGACTTCACGATAATCAACCCGATTATTTAACCTAACTACATTACTGAAAGAATATTTTTTGTGAGAAATATGAAAGATATGGTATATAAGTAAAGTTTTTAAGAAAAGTAACATCCTCTCAATAGGTCCCGCTGAAGACAAGATAGAGTATGAGATCAGGAAGTTAATGAATTGTAGAATTTTATAGTTCGGAACATCACCAATATGCTTCCAAAATTTCCGTTTCTTAACTACCTACCAAAAGTCAAAGAACTACCAAGCAAACAGTTTTTTATTTTTACCAAAATCTGTCAGCTGATTTGATTTCTATACTATAAAATTAAGGAATCATAAAAAATGTAATATTGTAACATATGGGAATTAGGCGTGGTTGTATTCCGATACTGCCAATTTTCACAACGTGATATAAGGACGTCGAAATTAGTTGATCAATTAAATTTGGTTTAAATTGATCAGACCGTACGTAAGATATACGAAATGTGTTAAAAAAAACGGGAATTTTCGGTTTGTGAATAAAATATTTATTAATTTGCTTGCATTAATGTTGTCGCCTTCAAAATAGTCCCGATTCCATTTTATTAACTTCTGCCAGCGCTTCTTTCAATTGTCGAAACATTTCTCAAACTCAACTTTTGGAATAGCCTTTAGCTCTTTCAGCGATGCGTTTAATGCCATTTATGTTTGTAAAAAGATAGCGCTTTAAGGTTCTTCTTATTTTTAGTATAGGAAAAAGTCACACGGAGCAATTTCTGGCGAATATAGAGGCTAAGGCATAGTTGCAGTATTGTTTTTAGCTAAGTATTTACGAACAAGCAACGAAGTGTGAGCTCTAAACAAACTAAAATCGCCAAGCTCGTAAAAACATGTCTAACCTTATCGGCTACTACAGACAAAGTAAGCAATGGATTCAGCTGAAATTGCTTGTCAAATTTTGATAACGGCTCCTATGAAGTCCTTCCGTTCCATCTCGGGTGTAAAATTTAACGTCTCTGATGTATTCGTTTAGTAGTGTGTAACACAACCATTATGGAAGGGAGTTAGAAAGTTTGGTCGATTTAGATTTAGTGGTTTGTGAGACATATATTTTAAACCATAAATGTCTATCCATATATTTCCACTTAATGGCATTTTGTGGGCGTGGCAATGGTCCTATTCCGGCCATCTGCAATCCCAACAGTCGTAAGAAGCTAAGGAGAACGTTAATCAAGATATCTTAATAACACCGACGGACAGACAGTCACCCGGTATTCAATTCATCTCGTCATCTATATAATTTATACATGTATGTTTCTTGATTTATTTATATCAAAATGATCAGGATGATGAAACAAATTGCTTCGGGATACATCTTCATGCGAGCGATAACTTGAGTAAAAAATCTTGAGAGAATTCGACATTCTGAGGAGGTTAGGAGTGCATTAGGTGTGAGGAGCAGAATCCATAGTTTGAATATCTTTGAAAAGTGATTTGAGCTTCACCCGGCGAACTTGCTCCGAAGAAAACGCAGACAGTCCTATCGGTCGGAGAGTGATGGTAATTTTTTACCAAGCACAAGGTGTGATCTACATCGATTTCCGAGAAGGAAAAATTAATTACAAAAAAATCGAATTACAGAACAAGAAAAGCGTTAACTTCGGTTGCACCGAAGCTATGATACCCTTCACAAATCAAAAAAGTTTTCGTATATAAACTTCATTTTGAATGGTCAGTTTGTATGGCAGATCAACTATATGCCATGATTCATATGACTAGTGTGATCCGATCTAAAAAATTAGTTCCGAGATTAAATTCTTGATAAATAAAAAGAAGTAATCCATAATAGGACATAATTTTGAGTTCAGTTTGCATGGCAGCTGTATGCGATAGTGGTCAGATGTCAGCGGTTCCAGCAAACGAGCAGCTCGTTTGAAAAAAAGGGCGTTTGCAAAGCTTCAGATCGATTTTGAATTGAAAATTTGGGTGTTTATACCCTAAACAGGGTATATTAAGTTTGCCACGAAGTTTGTAACACTCAGAAAGAAACGTCGGAGACCCTATAAAATATATACATAAACTTTTTACACCTGTTATTTTTTCAGTAAGAAGCTGCTCATTTGTCGGAACGGCCGATATCAGACCACTATAGCATATAGCTGCTATACAAACTGAACAATCGGAAGAAAGTCCTTGTATGGGATACTTTTTTTTTGACGTAATTTCTTCTCGAAATTTCGCACAAGTTATTTTCTAAGGCAAAAACGTATTGTCCGTAAAAAACTTTTTTATTTGACGGGGCATCTTCACGAAATTAGATCCGAATCAAGTAATTTTAAGGAAAATTTGTATCTGTGAAGAGTATTATAGCATTTGGTGCAATCGAAGTTTTTCTTGTTTCTAAAAAATTTCGTGAAAGATTTTTTTTTTACTAGATAAAACTAAAAAACACAAAAACTTTAATATTTTTCACATACATTTTTTTAAAGAAGTTATGTGAAAAAGGTGGCTATACAAAAGTTGTAGACATTTTCATTACCTATATAACTTTATTATATAAGACACATGAAATCGAGTTCAACAATTGTTAGCCCTTAGAAGAACAACCAAGTACCTCACCTTTCTCTTCCCGACTTCAGATCACCCATAAATTATGTTTGCTCTTGTAACATGTTCTTACAGAGTATAATAGTTTTTTCACCTACCGATTGCTTGTATCACCTAAAACTAATCGAGATAGATATAGAGTTATGTTTGGTATATAAATATAAACGATCACGATGACGAGACGAGTTGAAATCCAGGTAACTGTCTTTCTGTCCGCCTGTCCGTGTAAGCTGTAGCTTGAGTAAAAATTAAGATATGAAACTTGGTACACATGTTTCTTGGTAGAGAAGTAAGGACGAGTTCGTAGATTGGCGTAATCGGACAACTGCCACGCCAACAAAACGCCATTAGTCCAAAACGTTTATCACCCTAACAACAAAGGACAGAATTTTTTCAACCATTCTTACGATAGGAAGAAAATATGTGAAATCGGATGATAACCCCGACCACTCCTCATATAACGGTTTTGTTTAAAACTACCATTAAAAAGTAAATCGCGATAAATCAATAACTAAATGCGTCAGAGTCAAAAAGGCTTTAAAGAAACCGATGTCAAAACTGTACGATGGGCGTGGCACCGGCCTTTTTTAGGTAAAATCACATATCTTGGGATCTGTGTGAAAACTTGAACTAGCCCCCATATAACTAATATCAGACATTTCGAACAACCAGCTGGCTTTACTCCATATTGATGATAGTAATGTGAGGTACCTTAATAAAAGCCTGGGAGCATGGCATGTTGATAGTATGTGGCATTGGCAAAAATTAAAAAAATCGGGTCGGGTAGGTCTGAGAATCGGCCAACATCTATTCTTAGTCCCCAAAATTTTAGTTAATTTATACAAATCTATCGACGCCAAGGAAACTGTGAATTATCCAATTAACGTTTCGAATTCATTGGATATCTTGGGCTTGAGTTGGATCTCCGGTTATTTTGCTTCATAATTTGAGACCACAACGGATTTGCAATTGCACAAGATTAGTAATTAAAAAAATAATTTTAAAAAAATTTTCATTACATGTTCTCAGTTTCCAATTAAATTCGCATTCGCAATGACGATCAATAAGTCACAAGACCAAACGTTGTCTGCTTGTGGCTTAGATTTGGGTGTACCATGTTTTTCAAACGGACAACTTTATTTAGCATAATCTCGTGTTCCTAAAGACTGATCAAAAATATTATACACTCCATTGTGTTGTAAGATGAATCTTTGTTTATTTTAGTTGACATAATTATTAGTAGAAATATGAGCTATTTTCGATTTTTAGTGTTTTTAAAAACAATTCCTAAAAATAACGTGTATGGCAAAACAATGTTTGCCTGGTCATCTAGTGCTGCTTGAAAATATGTTTTCAAATTTACCTGAGCAGTGTCCAAATTAATGCAATCAACCCTCCCATTTCTCTAGCCGCTATATACGCTATATATGATTTGTTCTCAGTTTGGTTTGGCAATTCATCATGAATAGACGCGCGCCTGAACAACGCTTGCAAATAGTGCAATTTTGTTTCGAAAATAATGATTCTGTGCGGAATACGTATCGCGCACTACGTTCATTTTAGCGTATGATGCGATGAAGCGCACTTCTGGTTGAATGGCTACGACAACAAACATAGAAAAACTGACTGTTTGGTGCGCTTTATGGGCTGGTGCAACCATTGGTCCCTACTTCTTCAAAAATGATGGCCAGAACGTTACAGTCAATGGTGATTGGTATAGAGCCATGATTCCTAACTTTTTCATTCCTGAATTGAAAAACCATGATGTCCAGGAGCTGTGGTTCCAACAAGACGGCGCAACATGTCACAGAGCTCGGGCCACAATCGATTTATTGAAAGACACGTTTCGTAACCGCCTAAAATCTTGACGTTCTGCCATGGTATTTCTTCTTTTCTTGAACTTTTTCCCACTTTTCTCGTATGTACTTTTAGATTATGGTAATTTAAGCTCATATTCCCTCTCTATTAATTTGCTATACCTCCTATTTTATAACCATTCTCTCCAAGATCTTGTGATTTAACACCGCTAGACTACTTTCTGTGGTGTTATATAAAGTCATTGGTCTATGTGCATAAACCACAAACGCTTAACCATTTGGAAGACAACACTGGCCAGGTTGTTGCCGATATACGGCCACAAATGTTGGAAAAAGTCATCGAAAATTGAACGTCCAGATTGGACTACATCCGAGCCACGGCTGGTCATATGCCAGAAATCATATTTAAGATATAATGCCACAAGATTATCTTTCGGATAAATAAAATTCATCTCAATCGAATAATCCATCGTTGTTTTATTGCACTTAAAGTTCTATACCTCTAAAAAAAACAATATTTACATATAATTTGAATATGCTTTTAATGTAATTGCTGGCGTGAACTAAAATATAGCAGTAAAACAGGGTCTAAGTTTATGGTTCTCAATGTAAGTCAATAATATACCAAATTTAATTGTAATTTATTCACGATTTCTACGAATAGTGAACGCTAAATTCTTTCGCAACGTTTTTTAATGTTAAGTTTTGCCAACATCTGAAGGAATTTCCCGGACTTTGATTTTTGCAAGTTTGTAGGCTATAAGAGTTTCCAATGGATTTCAACCTATTATGAATTTCTTATTTTATTTATATATGTACACATGCTTGATGTTAACAATTCTCAAACGCAAATTCTATTTACTTCTGATTTTTCTAGCTAATGGATCGCCAACATTCGGTCGATGTAAAATGCAACGCCTAGGCATATCCTGCAACAAATCAAACTTCCAAAGAAACAACTACGTCAAACGTACACAGATATCTACATAAACCGTTGCACGCACATATTAATAAACTTAGTAAAATATAAAATGCATAGACCACAGTCCTTCCATATATACATATAAACCTGCACACTAACACATTTAGAGAAGAGCTGAAAAATATGAAATAAATTAAACCCACAAATTTAGTACTAAGCCGAAAGCTAGAAACTCACATCTACCAAATATTCCAAAAACTGTATGATAAAATTTAAAACCAAATATTTATTTTTTGAGTTTTAGGCTTGCATAAAATATCATTTGGCGCCGCTTTATGGCAGAACGGTAAAACGTAAAGCATAATGAGGCTACCGACTACAGATATCGTTGCAGATAAGTGTTAGTATATCAACTAAGATAGATATATAGGATAAATGTATACATACTTAACGATATTGATTTGCAATATAAAGCAAAATTTACTGATAATTTATATTTGAGGCAGTATTGAATTAATAATTAATTACTGCTAAGACGATAATTAAATACTGCAAACTGGTGAGATAAGTTGGATATTACAAAAAAAAAATCATATGAAAGTATATATTTGCATATATTTAAGTATATATGTATATAATAATTGAAACTGAGTACAGACAAATAATTTAATTTCATGAAAAATATCGTGAAATAAACTAGACTTATAACCGTAATTCATAGCAAACAACAAACACATAGAACAAATTATAAACAAATTACAAAACAAATGATTTATTGCTTTATTTAAAATGTTTAAATTATTAAGCGGAAATGCAGCCAATTCGTTATGTAACAAATGCTGAAATTGCGAATTTATAACTGGCAATGCAGACGCGTTGCAAAGTGTTGATACAAACAGACCAAAGTGCATGTGAAATAATTTATTAAAAAATGTGCATAAATGCTCTTTTCCATTTGCACACAAGCATTTGCACAAATATAACTGTGAGTGCAGGCATATTTGCATATTTAAATACATATGTTCATATGTACGCTGCAAAGTATGCATTCGCTTGTGGCAGCGCAAAAAAGTTGCGTATACGCCACGGCGCAAATGCGGCGACTCACTGTTAATCACTTCAACAACTTAATTAAAAGTAATCAAACTATAAACTATTTTTACAACAACAATTGAGTGCAAATTATCACAATTTATTTTCTTCGCATTTTGGAACACTGATTTATTGGCTTTTAATTATGAAATGTGTTGTTTTAATACTTTTTTCTATGCATATAATTATTTTGTTTGCATATGTTGCTGAAAGCACAAAGCTTTTCCACAAAAACTGATTTGAAGGTGACGCCGAAAAGCATGCTAAGCTCGGCAATCCCTAACAGCCAGTTGAAAAGCCAGCAAAAACTATTTTAATTGTATTTTCATCAATTTTGAAATTTGTTGTTATACTTGGCGTTTTAATTATTTGCTTAATTTAAAAAGATTATAATAAAATTATTTAAAAGAACGCCAATGCGGCATACTCGTATATCACTTTATTAATTCTATATTTATAATTAATTGGTTTTGGTAATGCAATCTAAAATATTTTATTTATTTTAGGCGTTAATTAATTATTTTTGTCTCTATACGGTTTTATTTTTCGTAATTGGTATGGATATCGTAATATAGGTATAAATATTTCTGCCAAAATTATTAAGAATTTATTTATTAGATATTTCATTTTAATAACTGGTTTCCAATTTTTGGATCTTTATCACTGTTCGTGACATATTTCATGTGCGGCAATTATGATCGGGTGGTCGGGAAGTTGATTAAATGTGTTACCACTTAATCCTGCACACTTTTCTATTAAAACTAACCAAATTTTAAAGCCTATTCAAATAATTTAAAGAACGCGTTATTAATAATTTTCATATCTTCACATTCAGGAGAATATTACTTCCATATGTTCGAGTATTTTAAGGTAAAAACAAAGGCATGTGGTTTTCAAGAAAAAATAAAAGGAATATAATTTTATGTTATGGCCAAGAATTTAACTTCATTATAAACATAATGATAAAATTATCTTGGTAAGTGATCACTGCGGCTGGCTCCAATAAGTTCCACCGACAGGCCAATTTTCAATCACTTCTTTCTGCAATTGAAGCCGTATTTTAACAATAACGCACCGAACATTATCTTCCAAGGCGTCAATCGAGACGGACTTATCTGCTTAGAGAAAAAATGCACTCACTAAATATGTCCTTAAATAAATTGATGGTTTCGTTGGTTGTATGTCATGAGAAAGTCATGAATCATGGCCCTATAGCGTTCCCTATTGCCAGCTTCATTTTTGAAGAAATATGGACAAATGATTCCTCTGCTCATAGACCACACCAAGCAGGAACGGTGTCTCAACAATGACTTGTGGATTATCATTACTTCAAATGCGAAAATTTTGTTTATTAACGTACCCATTCAACCAAAAGTGAGCTGAACAAAATTTTCTTGTGAAAATCGGGATTGATGGCCATCTCGTTTTGAACTCATTGACCGAACTTGCGACGCGCTAGGCGGTCGCTCGGATTCAATTCTTGCACAAGTTGGTTTCGGTAAGACCGCAAACCAAGACTCTTCCACGAAATCTTCCATAAAGTGGTTGGGCACAGCTCCAATCGTTGTGACCGAATGCAAATGAGCTCATTCGGGTCTTCCTTGATACTCTGCTCCACAGCAGCAACAGCGTCTTCTGTGCGCACTGTATGATTTCTCTAAAGATGCTCATGATTCACTAGAGCAAACGTGGTGCGAAACCGACCCGTGGTTACTCTAATTAACAAATACTCCATAAAACATCGATTCTCAAACATAGCTTACATTTGAAATATATTATATTCTTTACTTACTGGGCTATGATCAATATTTTATTTTTCAAAGCTGTACAATTTTTTTTTTTTTTTTGTGGAATAATGTCAGAATATAATTCTTAATTACTAAGCTGCTTTTCCTTTTATTATTGTTTTTGAGTAGATCTTTTCGAAGCAACTTCAGAAAAACTAATAAGAAGGCCGAAATTTCAGTACTTGGTCCAACCAAATATGAAGCCGCAGCACATGAACAATATCCAGTAAGACCCTTTACGATTACGGCAAGATAAACTTTCGGAGGACCTATTATGATTCACTCTTGGCCAGCAGGATCTCGTAGTCGCAGAATTTCTGATTGTTGACCAGCGCTTGCCGAGCTCAATCGGTTGAAATTGCCCGCCGGCGATTCCACCATGACCGAGCCTCCATACAAGTCTAACAGTACATCTACCGCTACCTTGATGGCAGTCATTTTCATTACACCCATCCATGAAAAAGCTCACTGCATCTCTTCTTCAACGGATTCGCCCCGCTCACAAATCCTTCGTAGGTATGTGAACAGAGAAAGAATCACCAGGAGAAAGTTTCGCGATGCACTAATCTTGATTGTAAGGATTGTAATGGAAGTAGTCCCTACCCTGGATCCCTCATATACCAAGCTTCCCTAAGTTTACAGTCTTCACCCCAAAGTTCTTTCCTGCTTAGCTAATTTTTTTTTCTGAGCGCCCTTCAGTTAACGTCCCCGTAAAATATTATTAGTTTGCCTACGGTTTCATCGAGCCTGAACCACCCAAACTCGGTGATTTTGTATCTCCTTAATTAAGATCCTCATTGCAGCTATGGTAATATCTTTTTACGTAAAGCGTTCAGAGTCCTCAAGGTTTGGGGTAAACTTTTAACTCGTTAATACATCGAATCATTTATTCCAACATAGAAGTCCGCTCATGACCCCGCTCATTAGGATCAGTCGCTATCTACTTTATACTACAGTGAACTCTCAAATTTCCATTTGCCATTCTTTAACCCACAGCTCAGTTCTTCAAATGAGTTAGTTATCGCATGTTCTCCGGTACCACTTGCAACCATAGCACTAGGAGGGAAGTCTACTACAGGAGAATTCAGAACTTAATAAGAGCTTTGTTACAAATCGGACCAATATCCCCCAGCCGTTGGGCACCAATCAATTGTAAATGGAATAAGCTACTGTTGCGTTTCCCCTTACACAGACACGCACACTCACAACCCCACCCACACACAATCCATAGGGCTGTTTGTAATGCTGCATCTCCTCAACTCATAAACCCTGTGAAAAGACATGTTAATCAAAATTAAATAAATAAACAATTTGCGCTGGCAATAAATGCGCAACGAATGGTTATATGCAAAGAAATGAAGACCGCATTTGATGGCTGAAAAAATTGCAACCAAAACGATGAAAGCTTGCGCAAAAAATGATAACATAAAAAAGCACAAATATTTAATTACAAAGTTTCCATTCATTTACAACAACAAAAACAAAAAAATTAATTATTTTTAATGAACTGCTGTAATAACTGTAATATTCATTGACACGCCAGGCATTTTTAGTACTTTTCAAAAGAGCGAGAGAGGGAGAGAAAAAAAATTAATAAGTTTACACAGATGACGAGCAAAAAAGCTGCAAACAAGCTGCAAAACCAACAAATAAACACAAAAACGTATAACTGGAAAAAATAGAACATAAATATTAAAAAATAGCGATTAAACTAATAGACTTGCATTTATCGGCATTGTATCTTGACTTAATAATAACTGTATATGAATATCATAGAGAGGCATACAAGTAAGTTTCCGTAATGTAAATGTAGTTTTGCATATAAACAATAATTGTAATTGTAATTGTAACTGTATATTATTACTTCAAAGTAGGCAAAAGTGAAAATTATACGAAATTTAAACTAGGAAATGTGTAAACTTCCAATACATCCATACATACTTATATATGAACCAGTTGGTACTATGTATGAGTGCATGAAATTGAATTATTTAAATGCATGCAACTTCTTGCATTACTTAAATACATATAATGAGATATAATTAAGATTATTTACTCTGTATTTATAGGCGACAAAGTATTGAAGAGAAGTAGTGAAAACTTTTACGTTGAAAACAATTCAAATATATTTAATTATGTAACACAAGAAACAATAAGAAATGACATCATTATTGCATGTAATGAATCCGAATAAATTACGATTTGAAGAATATTTGAATGGTTTTTTGTAATTTGCCTATGTTGGTGAGTACTTTTTACAAAGTTTAGTTGAAATAACAGATTAACAATCAGAGGATTTTAGTCAATACCAAAATACGATTGTCTGATGTTTGGAATTAGGCAAACCTTCAATTCAATTTTCATGTCATAATAAGGGAATTATTTTATGGGTTGGTTGAAAGGAAGCGTAGGAACTCCAGATCGCAGACAGCCGCAATTAAGCCATAATCAGAATCACTATGTATCCAAGTAAGAGCCAACTAAGCCACACTCAGCAACCCAGTGGATTTGATGAAATGTCTGTCGGAGTTTTTTTCATTCCAACTGTCTAATATCTCTTAAAGTGAAACATTGGGAGCCGGAGAATATATCCCATATCAGCCGGCTGAAGGTTGGGCAAAGGAAATGTTCTACCATCTCATCAACGTACTCGCGTGCTCTGCATACTATTCATTCCACTTACCCAAGTTTCAGAAGTTAAGATTTTGAAAGTAAATGCTTGTTATGACTCTCACAATGTGGCTTTGCTCTTTCTTAAAAATTAACCTTAAGGTCTCTTCACTAACAACACTTTGCCAAAGTACTTTTGTGGTATGCCCTGTGTCTATTGCTGCAAACAAATTTTGAAGGAGCTGTACGGCTTAAGGTAGATTGAGGGTATTTACTTCTATACCGAATAGCCCGCACTGACTGGTAACTCGGTTTAAAATTATCCCTTTTGCAACGTGTTACTACTTTGTATGAGTTAAAACTAATCGAGACAGATATAGAGTTATATGTACATACAGTCAAACCGGTTTTTGTGCGGTCTTTTTTTATGCGTTTTTTTTTTTTGTGCGATTATTTTTTTGTGCGGTATATGAATATCGACGCATTGAATTTCGTTCAGAGGTTAGGTCAATCTGAACTGTGTTGGCATCACTTTTTTTGCTATCAGTGTGTATGTACACATTGCAACAGCCATTTTAATACCTATTGCATCAGCCTATTTCATTAGGCATTCTCAATGTTCTTATGCATATACATCATTGCATCATGTATTGCATCAGCCAATTTCAATACATATTGCGCCATCTAATAACTTTAGTTAATTGCTGACCTTTTAACAATTAATACAGGATTAATTTTATAGTGAGATATAGTTTTTTATGATTTTTATTTATTTTTAGTCATAAGTACTCCCTTAAAATGAATAATCGTAACCAAAAAAAAGTGAAAAGAAAGACAATTACATTAGAAACTAAATTAAAAACTGAAGGATCCACAGCTCTTGGTAAAGAATATAAATTAGGTGAATCCACTATAAGAGCAATACAAAAACGTGCAAGTAGAATAAATGAATCTAAATAGTCTGCAACAAACGAAAGTGGTAAAAGAATATCATATTCTAGAAATATTTTAATAGAGAAAACGAAAAAGGCCCTCATATTTTGGATTAACGACTCAACTCGAAAACGAATCCCCATCGAGGGAGATTTAATTAAGGAGAAAGCTAAACAATATTTCAATCAGCTGAAGGATTTAGAACCGTCTAGTTCCTCATTCCACTTTCAAAACCTGAAATTTTCTGCCAGCAATGGCTGGTTAACTGGGTTTTTACGACGAAAAGCACTTCACAATGTGAAGGTGCACGGCGAGGCCGCATCCGCCAATGAAACAGCTGCTAAGAATTATTGCAAAGTCCTAGCCAAAATTATTGATGACGGTGGATATTGCCCAGATCAAGTGTTTAATGCAGATGACACTGGGTTATTTTTGAAAAAGATGCCCAGCCGAACGTTCATCGCCAAGTCTAAGAAAGCTGCAAGTGGCTTAAAGGCTGCAAAGGATCGAATTGCATTCGTTCTTTGTAGTAATGCATCTGGTGCAAGAATGTTAAAACCACTTCTTTTAAGTAAAGCTTTGCACCCACGCACGCTAAAAGACATAAATTTAGCAGAACTTCCAGTGCATTTCATGGCCAATAAAAAAGCATGGGTCACATCAGCTGTTTTTACAACATGGTTCAACGATTGCTTCGTACCAGAAGTTGAAAAATATGTGATGGGTCTTCCTCTTAAAGTGTTGTTAATTGTTGGCAATGCACCCGGTCATCCTTGTTTAGAGCATCCTAATGTACAAGTAGTGTTTTTACCACACAATACGACCAGCCTTATACAACTATTGGAACAGGGCATAGCCGCAACTTTTAAGAAACACTATGTGAAAATAACTTTCAGATATATTTTGGAAAAACTAGAAAAGGATGGAATAAGCCTGACTAAAGTATGGAAAAAGGCTTCGATTTCAGACTGCATAAACCACGCCACTGCAGCAATTACTCAAATAAAACAACACACTTTAAATTCGTGCTGGAAAGCGGTCTGGCCTGAATGTGTCATTAATAGAAATGTAACCGACAACACGTCTGCGGAGAAGGTTTAACCTCTTTCAGCGAAAACGATCTTATTGAAATGATTGGGGACGAAACCGTAAATGATAGTGACATTATCAATAACTTTACAGATCATGAAGACGGGCAAGAAGAACCGGAATCTATTACAGCGGATAAAATATATGCAGGGATCCAGCTTTGAAGCAAATTGGAAAAGCATTTTCTTAAAATAGATAACAATGCTCAAAGAAGTTTGAAATTCCAAAAAGAGATTCGATTGTGTATATCTAGCTATCGCGACGTTTACAAACAGCTGACCAAACGACCGTCGTCGCAAAAACTTATCACCGACTACATGTTAACAAAAAATAAATCAACTGTAGTAGCTTCAAGCGACGAAAGCAATTACGAACCAGTTCATCGCAAAAATATGCGCGTTTGGAACTACGACGAGTAGTATTGAATTATATACATTTTGAAAATTTCTCCTTGTTTAACATTAGAAATTAAAATTTTTTGAAATGTTTCAATGTGTAATTTAATTATTTATTTTGTTTGAAAAGCACTTTCTTGCTATTTCGTGAAGCTTTGACATATTTTCTAAGTGAGACTTTCCTTTAATATGCTGTGAAAAATTATTTCTTATAGCTATTTATGAAATTTTTGAATATTTTGTTTTTATGCGGTTTTTTTTCTGCGGTCCCTATCTACCGCACAAAAACAGGTTTGACTCTATATAAATAACCAGGGCGACGAGAAAGTTGAAATTCGGGTGACTGTCTGTCCGTTCATCCGTCTGTCCCTTCGAAACCCAAGGGAGGTTAGTATTGCATATGCACAGAATCGGTCGCATGCCAAGCCCACCAAATTCCTTTATGGGAAGTCATATAAATTGCTACAATTAAGCTCAAAATTAAGATACAAGACGGCTAACAGGCATCCGTGGACTAAACATTTTTAAAAAGTGGGCATGGCCTCGCCGTCAAAGAGTTTTAATTTGCATATTTCGGACACTATTTAACTTATTTAAAACAAATTTTGTGCACCCCAAATATTGATTTCCGACTTTCTAGCTGACTTTAAGCCGATATGTAGGTATATGAAAATCATTTAAATCCATATATACCGTGGTCTATGAATCCTTTAATATAATGATTTCCGTTTCACTGGCTGATTTTTTCTCATATACTCAATATAATAAATTTAAGCTCTTTGGTTAAGATTGCGACCTATAATATAATTTTATAATATACCGAACATGATTTTAATATTTTAACCATTTCGTCGAATAACGAATGTTAAATAAAAAGTAAAGTTTTGCCAATACCTCGAAGTATTTCCTCAGCTATGGTCTTTGCGAAAGGTTAAAATGTTCGGTTATACCTGAACTTTGCCCTTCTTTACTTATTTATTACTGCTTTGCACCATACCAATGCAACACATGCTGGTATCGAACCGATTGCACTTTTGTACAGCAAATTTCTCATTTGGGGTCGTAGCCCTCGCTGTGGGGCAATAACTCTTCTACAAGAGTTTCAAAGGTGAAGAGCTTTGGAATTCCTGCATGCAATGTGTTCTCTCCTGTTTAGTTTTTTATCAAGGGTTACCTCAAAAAATTAGCGAGTAGATGGTGTTAAAGTCGAGTAGGAGTAAAAATACGTTGATCAAAAGGACGTAAATCAAGGGGGATAAAACATCTCCTTCCGGATGCCACAAGGGATCTGATGACTGATTTTCATACCTTTCCCTTTGTAAATTGTTTGCTTTGCTTAGCATATAACTTGAAATGAAGCGATACACGATATCAGGGCCACTATTCAGATTTTATTATAATTTTATTTCTGACCTACATATGTTATATAACTCTCGTTGAAACGGGCTATATGCCATTCTAAATTCTTATCACTATACCAACCGTGAAAGTGCATATGTATGTAAAAGTTTGTATGTATTTAACGCGCAATCAAAGCTTTAATCAACAATATGGCAGCACGCAGCTGTCGTAAACCGCAAAGCATTATTATTTTGTGCAAAAGTGTTTTATGACCGCATATCCGAAAACGAGTATGTACGCTTACAAACAGATACACATATGGCGTATTGCTTTTAATTCGAACACAGCCGAACAAGTGGCTGTGCGGCGCTGTCGAAAATCCGAAAATCCACAATGCCACTCAAAGTGACACTACGCCGAGAACGTCAATGAAACCATTTACACTCGTTCATGCACGCTTTGGCAAACGATTTCCGCTTGTGGTGCTTGTGGTCGTTCGAAAACATCGTTAGTATAGTGCGGTTTGAGCAGAAATCGATTTTTATGTAAAAACAAAAAAAAAATAAAAAACAACAAAAATAGGAATTTTAGCTGATTGAAATTTTACTGCTTTGCAAAACACTTAATGACTAATAAATAGTCAACTATTAATTAGTATATATTTGCTCAAACTTTATCTAAGCTTTTGAAATATTACATCTCCGTACACTTATAAACAAATTTCTATTAGTTTTCGGCCTGAATTCAATTTAGTTTCTTCGGTGAATTTTCGCTGAAACGTGTTTACCAGAAGGGATTCTTGAGTTTCAAAAACTGAAGAAAGTTTCTAGGAAGTAAATCTGATAAATATGGTAACTGACGGATCTCTTTTAGCACTTCGATAATGGTCATAATATTTGCGACCTCAATTAAGAGTAGTTTTTTATAAAACAAATTCGTTTCTTTGCACCGGAGCGCTACTTCTTTCTTAATATAATCCGAATATTCCTTCCAATGCATCAATCATATCGGGTTTATCTGCGTACACATGCGACTTCACATGGCATCACAAAAAATAGTCCAGCGGTGTTAATTCGCACGAGCTTGGAGGCTACACCACTGGCCCACGACGCGAGATAATGATTTCACTAAAAGTTTTCTTAAATTGATTGTATCGGTGGCGGCATATAGCGCCGTCTTGTTGGATGTCGTCCACATCATCATCCTCCAATTTAGGTACAATTAATTCATTAATCATGGCTGTATAGCATTACGCATTAACAGTAACATTATGGCCGGCTTCATTTTTGAAGAAATATGGACTAATGATTCCCTCTTCCCATAGAGCACACTAAACAGTGACTTTTTGAGGATGTAACGGCGTCTCAGCAATGTTTTGTAGATTATCACCATTTATCCAGAAGTGAGCTTCATTATTGAACAAAACTTTCTTGTGAAAATCAGGATCTGTGGCCACCTCGTTTTGGGCTCATTCGCCAAAACTGCAACGAGCCTGATAGTCGTTTGGCTTCAATTCTTGCACGAGTTGGATTTTCCAGTTGTTGCGTGCGTTGACGGATGGACTAATTCGGGTTTTCTTCAATACTCTGTTCCACAACAGCGATAGCGTATTTGATGCACACTCTAAGGATGCTGGGAATGCACGTCATCCACTAGAGTAAACGTGGTGCGAAACCGATCTATTATTACGCAAATTTCCGACTCAGCGATGTTAAAGCAGCAGGCGCTGTGTCGCGTGAACCGAACCATTATTTTGGTAATAAATTTACACGATACTAACGTTATTCCGGAGTAAATCTATTTATTTTAAAATGGCAAACTAAAGTGAGTAGAAATCAAGTGAATTTGAGGACTTAAGAGTTTTTATTCGAACAGTTTGAAGGACTATTTGAAGTTGAATTTCCGAAAGCCCCTTACTTGTACTTTTTCCCTGGACATACAAATATACCCGACGTTTTAAACTTCGTAATTCTGCTAAGCCATCGCATCAATTAATGGCAAAGTATTTTGTAACTTTACTACGGTATTAAGTTTTAAAATATTTTCCTTTTGCTTAATCATATATTTTCCTTAACTTCTCTTTTCCGATAAATCAACTTGCTAACTGCCTTTGTGGCACCTTTCTTCTATAATGTCTAATTGGATGGATAAAATTGTTGAAGTTCTACGCGCTCCACAGGCACACACACAAATATATAATAAATAAAAATACTAAAGTGAAGTGAAGATGGTAACGGTGCAATATCGTGTTTCTTTTAATGAATTTTTTGTGCTACTTTCATTGCTGCGCAAAATATTTTGCGCCAGTTGACAGTTGACAAACTTTTGCGCGCCGGAAAAAACCCTGGAAAGTATAGAAAAAAAAGTTGAAAAGGAAAATAACTTTTTTGTGCCACGTCAAATACTTTAGTACGCTCACTTAAATTATACAGCGGAGAAACTAGGTGTTCGTTATGAAAAAATATACGCCAACAAAAACAAGAATAGCGACAAAGTATTTATGTGTGCGAGTAGAAAAACACAGCGAAGCTATCAATGCGAGCTGAGTTCAGCAGGCGTTTCCGTGCAACTTGTACAAGCTGCCAAGATGTACATAAGTACTTATTTGTTGGTGACACACTTTTAAAACAACCAATAGTTTTTCTGTAGACGGCTGACAATCAATGACAGGACTATAAGATAATTGAAGTTTGATATTTAGAATTAGAGCATGTGATTTGCTTGAAACGATTGATTAGTTACACATATTACTGTGAGGCGATCCACAACTCTCCTTCCGTACGACTGTAGAACGAAACATATTCCAGATCATTAAAACAAAGTTCTAAATGTACCTAGATACAATGCAATTATATTTATATCCTGAACAGGGTATATTAAATTTGCCACGAAGTTTGTAACACCCAGAAGGAAACGTCGGAGACCCTATAAAATATATACATAAATGATCAGCATGATGAGCTGAGTTGATTTAGCCATGTCCGTCTGTCTGTCTGTCCGTCTGTCCGTCTGTCTGTATATATACAAACTAGTCCCTCAGTTTTTATTCTATCGATCTGAAATTTTGCACCTGTCCTATTCTAACAAAGAAGCTGCTCATTTGTCGGAACGGCCGATATCGGACCACTATAGCATATAGCTGCCATACAAACTGAACAATCGGAATCAAGTGTTTGTATGGAAAACTCTTTCATTTGACGAGGTATGTTCATGAATATTAGTATTTAAGGCATTAATCCAATCCTCGAAGAAATTGTATAGATCGGATGACTATAGCATATAGCTGCCATATCAACTGAACGATCGGAGTAAAGTGCTTGCATGGAAAATTTTTTTATTTGACGAGGTATCTTCACGAAATTGGACACGAGTCACACATTATTCTCCACAGAAATTGGTCAGATCAGATCACTATATCATATAGCTGCCATACAAATTGAACTTTCGGAATCGAGTTCTTGTAAGGGGCCTTTGTATTTGTGAAGGGTATTATAGCTTCGGCGCAACCGAAGTTAACGTTTTTTCTTGTTTTTGTTATAACTAGGCAGCGCTACAAGCCTTATCGTCGTTAGATAATAAATCTGGAGTCATGCAAGACAAGTGAGCTTCTTTACGGATAAGTCAAAGCTTGGTGGAAGATTGGTGAAGGGTTATACTCGTATTGTCAGAAACTCTCTATCAAC